CCCTGGGCTGCTAGACAGGAACCAAGATAGAGCAGGGAGAGAGGCCTGGCAGCAGGACAGCCTTCCCCTCAGCATGGCCCCTGCCGTTGGCTTCTGCAGGGTCTTAAGTCCTCAGCAACCTCAATTCCCAGGGTTGTTCTTCATCAGTGGGTGCCAGTTGGCTAAATGTCATATTGGAAAAGCGTACAGGATGTGAGCTTCCAAATCAACCGACTCCTTGCAACAGACTTGGCTTAGCTTGGCTGCTCAGTGCTTAGACAGCAACGGGGGGAGGGGGGAGCGTTGCTGACTCAGCGAGAGGAGCCCAAGGACAGGCAGACGAGGGAGGGACTAGGAGTAGAGCATGCTCACTACAAACAACTGGAGGGGCCTAGAGATTAACAGAGCTCAGCTACAAGCTGCAATCCAGGTCTGTAGAGGAAGGGAGGCTCACAGGCAGGCATCTCCGCTGCCCCTGAGCCAGGTCTCAAGGTATAAAGTCCTGGAGGACTTGCAGAAACCAGATGCTCACTTCTTCAGCAGATGTTAAAACTTCGTCCCAAACCATCCATCACAAGCAATCATAGAAGGGTTCAGAGAAGGAAGAAATAGCACATTAGGTATGTTGACCTGAACACTCCAGCTTCCCCTCTTACCTAATGTTATCTTGATGCAGATGGGGAGATTTGACCTTATGTTTGGGTACATCATGATCTGAAAACTCTAAACTGGAATACTCAAGGATTATTTTGTTTCTAGTGAGCAGAGCTAGCCAAGGGATTTGCAACGATAAAATTCGGCTTTGTACTTGTGTATGCATAAGGGCAGATTGGGTGGACTCCCACTGAGCCACACATTCAATGATGTCTGCACAGCAAAGGGCCCATACAGGTCACCCAGGTTGCAGGAGAGAGAGAGTGAGGCTGGCTATGCAAGCAGTACTACACATAGGCCTACAGAAGGTGAGGAGGTTACAGTGATTTTTCTTGGTGACTTTGAGATTAAGCTCATGGGACATACAGAGCACAAAAGTTACTGAGGGAGAGGCAGGCTCCCCCCAACTCTGAAAATGTCATCACAAAAGAAGGGAGGTGGTCCCTTCTCCAGTCACCAAAAGAGAATCTACAATCTGGCAGGATTCTCCCAAACTGCTCCAAACTGATGATCTCTTCTCTGGCCCAAAGAGGAAGGAGGCAGAGAGGGTCCTCTTGGTCCCAGAGACCTTCAAAAAAGAGCTCCAGCAAATCAGAAATGACTTTGCATACTACAAACCTCCGAGAAAACCATCCTCCCGGGACCCTAATCTCAATCTCAGTTTTAATGTCTAAGGCACAAACATTTATCTCAGAGGCCAGCAGTAAGAGTAGAGTGCTTCTGGCTGGCCAGCGTGGCTCAATGGTTGAGTGTCCACCTATGAACCAGGAGGTCACAGTTTGATTCCCAGTCAGGGCACATGCCCAAGTTGTAGGCTTGATCCCTGGTGTGGGGTGTGTAGGAGGCAGCCGATCAACGGTTCTCTCTCATCATTGATGTTTAATTTCTCTCATATATATATATATATATATATATATATATATATATATATATATAAAAGGAGTAGAGTGCTCTGGATAAGACAACCCAGCCCCACTTCTGCCTGGCTTCTTCCTCACCTGCCCATGAGCAATGGCTTCCAGCCTCAGCCTCTCACATCTCCCGGCTTCTCCTCCTCCAAAGCCTGGACAAATACTGCACAGTCTCATCTCACACATATGTAGGACTGGCAGCTATCTCAATATTCTGCCCTCGGGCTGCCTAGGGCCTCTTCCAGCATAAACATTGAGGAGAGGGGGTCCCGTAGCCTCATGAGAGAAAGAAAACACAAGTCCGTCTGAGCCCAAGACCATCTGCAGGTGATGGATATTCATGCTGCTCACCCCACGCCCCCACACTGAGAGTCCTGGGAATACACACACACACACACACACACACACGTGTCTCCCTAAATGCTCACATGGCCACCACGGCTCTGCAGTGGAAGGATGTCTCCCTTTATCTTATCCTCGGCTCTTCCCAGCCTGAGGCTTGGGGTCAGGGGCATGAGAAGATGATCGCCTGAGTCCAGAGAAGCTGCTAACATTTGGAAACACTCTCATTTTGAACCTTTTGGCCTTTAGCTGCAGTAGACTGGCTGAGACCAGGACTGACCCCTCCCCAAGGGCTGTTCAGTGAGCATGGACAGGAGGCACAAGCACAAAGCACACTCAGGAACTCCAGGTTTCATGTGAGGCCCTCCTAACAGCCAGTCCCCAAGAGGAGCCCAGTGTGAGGGGTAACGGCAATTCTAGGAGGTAGATGCTGTGCGACCACACCCCTTCATCCCTTTCCCTCTCACCAAGACACCTTACATCAGGACATTCGTGCATTTTCTTTGTGTGCTTAACTGATCACCCTTCCAACAGTGGATTTCCACTGCTTTTTCCATCTGAGACTTCAGCAGTCCTTGACATGAGCTGGTTGCTCTCCAACATTTACAGACGAGAGCCTCCTTTGGCCACTTCTCAAATCCTTCCCCAGATCCCCAGACCTTCACCCTAGTGCCACAAGAGCAGGCACCACAGGGACAGAGCTCCCCCTGCTGACAGCTCGCTGTGGTGGCAGGCCCAGCAAGATTGTGGTTGAGCAGTTCTCCTAGTCACAGGTCTATGAATTTAGGTTCCTAGAACACCTTCTAACTCCCCTCAGTCCCCTCCCCAATAAGGACAGCGTTATCAGGGACATCTTGAGAAATTTTTCCCTTTATATCAGTGCCAGGGCTTCCCAGAAAACACAGGACTTCAGACCAAAATGACACCCAGCCCGGGTCCATTGCTGGGACAGACTGATGGGATGTGTTCCAGGGTCCTTGCCGCACCACGCTCAAACAATCAGGTGTGCCGGGCAGTTCAAATAAATGCCCCCGCTGACTGGCCTACCCCTCCCCAAAGGAATTCTTGGACACTTTACCCACCTCTCACCAAGCACAGCCCACAGCTTCTGAGGAACCTGTCCACTTCCCTCATATGAAATTATAGCCAATAATAGAATATACTTGGTTCTCAAAATACATGGCATTGAATCCTCAACTACAACCTCTCATAAAGCAAATGTCGCCATCAGATGAGGAAAGTGAGGCATCGAGGGATGAGGCAACCTGCCGGACAGACACTGGGAACCAGGAAACCTGAGGCTGGAGGTCGTGCCTGAAGAAAAGAACCTTCTCTCCTCCCCCTTGGCACTGAGTTCACCATAGGGACCCTCCCCAGATCTGCACAGCCTTAGAGCCACCAGCTCCGGTGGATCAAAGGCTTACTGCATAAACAGAATATCAGGGAACTGGCACAGTCTCACGGACCTGATGGGCCTCTCCCATCCTGCCCATCGCTATGAAATCGCATCTTCTGCGGGAGCCAGGAGAGGGGTCATTGGGGGGGGGTGGGATGCTGGAGGGCTTTGTGGGTTCAAACTCAGGGCATCTCCCATCACAGCCCAAGTCTTTACCACCCAGGTCTTCACCACTTGGCATGGAATTCACCTTCAGGTAGTTTTGGCTCTAAGACAAGTGCCAATTTGTTCACGTATATTAAAGTTGATTAATCAGCCCAACAAGCATAGCAGCAGCAACAGCAGCAGCATACATGAATGCTAATTGGCCTGAGAGTCATTCATCATCATTAAAGCTGTAAGGTGTGTGGTTACTAATCAACCTGGCTTGCAGATAAGAGTAAAAGATTTACCAGTCATGCAGGCATTCGCTTAGTAATTGAATAGATTTTTTACCTAGTATCTTCCAGAAGAAGACACTGTACTGTGTGCTTGAAAAGCTGAATAAAAAAGACCCCCTTAGTAGATCCAGATATCAGAAGGCCTCAAATAAAGGCAAACTGTGCCAAGTGCCATGGGAGTTACAAGCTGTTGGAGAGGGGATGATCGTGTTCCTTTGAGCAATCACGGAGGGCTTCTTGAAGGAGGTGAACTTTGAGCTGGACCTTGGGTGGAAGTAAAAGAGACAGAGATGATGAGGTATGCATTCCAGGGAGAACATGTACAGTGGTGAAAGCGGGGAAAATGAAGGGTAGTTTTGGGACGCTGTGAGGGTTCCTGGAAGGACGTAGCAGCATTTGTGTGTAGGGAGTGGTAGCATTGCTGTATATGTTAGATTCAGATTCTATGCTGATTATGGGGATATCCCAGTAAAGAAAACACAGGAAGTCCCTGAAATTGTGGACCCCACAGTCCCTCTAAGGATAAGGCTGAAGAGAAAGACTGGAGCACCCCCAGTTCTGCCCTTCTAAGAAGTTTGGGGATTTTCAAGTTGGCACTGGAGTTAGTGACCGTTTTAATACTGAAAGATTATGATCAAAGCCTTTTGGAAGTTTAATCTGGCCCCAGAGTATAAGACAAATTTAAGAAGAAAGGGGGGAAATTGAGAGTCAGTAAGGAAGCTATTGCAGTAACTCATCCACAGGTGGGAAGGAAAATAAAGGCATGAATGGAAGGGAGACTACCCAGGTAAACCATACACAATTGGGAACTAGCTGGATACAGAAGGCAGGGCAAGGAAAGCGTCAGGCTGATCTGGGCTCTGGGGCCTCTGTGACTTACGGCATGTTGCTGCCATTATCCAAACCAAGGAGTCCAGAGGAGCACACTGGGGTGGGAATGAAGATGATGAGTTAAGGTAGGGGATGCCCAGCATCTTGCCCACCAAGGAGGCGAGGAGTATTCTATTTAGAGAGATGAAAATAGCCAAGAAACCATGAAGACAGGGCCAGTGGGAAGGGCAAATAAGTGGGGGAAAAATGGTCAAGGAGGGCTAGATAGTGAGCAGTTACATTTCCTCAAGGCCCTAGCACCTACTGCTCTCTCTCCACGGATCCAAAGCTCTTTAAAAAGACACTTCCGCTTCTAAACACCACCGCAGAGCCCAGGAGACCAGGCAGCAGACAATCTACAGTAGAAATACGGTAGAATGTGGTGGGGATGTAGAGGGGATTTGGAGTCTAGTGGTGGTGAGTGGACCCGAGGTTTTCATCTCCAATGGTCCTGTAGCTCTGATACTTTCTCTTGGTTTCTGTTCTGACCGTGATTCTCTCTCCATGCTCCAGGGACCCTGACTCTTGGCCCAGAGATCCCAACTTGTCCATTTTCCCATTACTGCCTGAGCCCAGGCTGGCCCGCTTCCAGATGATGACCATCACTGGCGTCAGAAAGACAGATCAGAAAGGTGAGCCTTTTACTTCCTCTCTGCCCCATCTCCCACTACATCAGAGCAGGCAGGCCCAGGCAGGCCCAGGCAGGTCTGTCTGCACAGTGGCTCCCAGGCTGGGCCGAGAAAGAGTCACGTCCTCCATCCTCTGAGTTTACTCAGAGCGCCTGTGCCCTCGCAGAGCATGTGCTCTGGGACCTCACGGGACTCTGGGTGGCACAACCAGAACGTATCTCAGGCTTGCAGCGGCCAAAGGCAAACACCTTCGACTTGCTATCCCACCACCAAAGTCTCAAAACAAAATGAAAAATCGATTTCTCACGAAGGAGTTGATTTCCTTGGAGACCTAGCATCCCCTCAGTGGCAGGTTTTCGTCACAGATGGGTCAGAAAAGTCACCGCCACCTCCATTTGTCTGTTGGAACGTGTCTTTTCTCTCACAGTGCCGTTCAGCAAACCCTAGCACACTGGAGCTGAAAAGTAAAAGTCATGATTAAATGATGAGTTCTCCACAGCCCTGAGATTAGAAGAAAAGTGAGATCCAGTCACAGAAAGGTTCTTCTTTTTCCAGAAAAAGGCAGCCACAAAACTAAGAGGATCCTGAGCTGCAAAACTGAGCAGGAGCCTCCAGGAGAGGCCGGGAGAGAGGAGGTCACCAGGCCCCACGTAGCCTGGGGCCCAGACATCCGACTCTGCCCACTGCTCACCAAGGGCCCTTACCTCACCCAGGCGATATATGGCTACCTCCACATGAAAGGACAGAAGAATAAAAAAAAAAAAGGATTTTTTTTTTTTCTAATAAATATCCTTTTGCAGCTAATCCATCCTTTGTAACTTTCAGGCTTCATGGGGCTGGCGGCGGGCCCATCAGATAACAGCGCAGCTGTGACCTGAGAAACGTGAGAAGAGCAGATTAGGAAAGATGAAAAACATGTTTGGTAACTGTGTCTGTGGGGAAGTCCGAAGGGAGTCCTCAGAGGGATACCCTGACAGCTCAGGGACCCCAAAACCAATGCCACCCAGAAGCGGTGGCTACCCCGCCAGGTGGGGGTCGGATGTGAGGGCGCTGAAGGCAGGTAGCTAGCTGGTTGCTCTTACATTTCTGCACAGTCATTTGCTCCCTGAGCCTTCCTGAGCTGGCTCAGTGGAAAATGGCAACAAAATGACAAGGTGTCACTTCACAAACGGTACCTGCTTTCGGTGTTCCCCCACCCCCGGCATCAGGCTGAGGGCACACACGGCTCTGGGGGAGGCAGCATGCTCCCTTCCTCCCACCCCCCCTCCCCCATAGGGAGAGGGAGCTGACTAATGACCAGAAATAACCCTAGGTGGCCCAGCAAGTGCATGGGTGAAAGGGAGGTACCAGGACAGAAACCTCCTGAGTTAGGGCTGTCCTGCAAACTCTGGGTTCTGTATGGATGACGGGGTGTAGAATGGAAATTCTGGACTTCACTTATGATGTGACAAGGACTATTACATCCATGAAAGAAGAAGGTGGGGGAAGGAACTGAGTTTCTTGTTTATATTTAGCTTCCCTCCCTCCACCATCATCTATGTTTATATTCTAAAGAAAGATCCCCGAAAGCAGCCCCAGGATTTCTTCAAAGCCTACCCCAGGCTCCTCTACTTCTCTGGGCAGCCCTGTCCTGGGTGCTTTGTGGACCCCGCTGACCTACAGAGCTTCCAACTGGAGATCCTCCTGCTCTCCCACAAGGAACTGGAAACTGCTGGCTGGGGCTCTGAGAAGCATATGGGGGCAGCAGTGGAGAGATCAGGGGAGAACAGTCAGGCATCCACAGTCACTCATTATCCAGCCAATCATTGGCCCCGAGGCCCAGAGTCCTGGGGCCCAAGCCCAACGTGAAATCCTTTGTGTTTTGTTTGTTTTTTTACTCCCCTCTGCTATCTGGCCATCCTCTCCCAGGCAGTTACTCATAACCCCTGGCCATGGGGTGTCCAGGCAGTTCAGGAGAAGCAGGGTACAGGCATTCATTCTCTCCCTGAGGAGAGATACTAGTAAGAGAGGCCCAGCAGGAGAGGCCCAGCGGAGAGACAGGAAGAGCTCCAGGGCATCCCAGCTCTAACAACCAGGAAGACAGCACCGGGACCTTGGTAGCTCACGGAAGAGCAGTTCCTGTGATAGACACTAAATAACTACTTAGCACCAGTATAACATGTGAGATGGTGTTGATCGCATCTCCCTGATGATCAGTGATGTTGAGCATCTTTTCATGTCTGTTGGCCCTCTGGATGCATTCTGTGAAGGCATGTCTTTTCATGTTCTCTGCTTATTTTTTTTATTAAATTCATTTTGTCATTGAGTTGTGTGGGTTTCTTATATTTTTTGAATATTAACCCCTTATCAAATATATCCTTTGTGAACATAACCCAATCAATATGTTATCTTTTGGGTTTCTTTTTTTCTTAAAGATTTCCCTCCCTGTGCAGAAGCTTTTTAATTTGATGAAGCTCGTTTGTTTATTTTTGCTTTTATTTGCCTTGCTCCAGGGAACTTATAAAAAAAATATTATATATTTTTTTTACTCACACACACACAAGTCAGACTGATGTCAGATAGCTTACTGTTTTTCTTCTATGAGTTTTATTTCAAGCCTTACATTAAGTCTATAATCCATTTTGAGTTTATTTTTGTATATGGTGTAAGAGAGTGGCCTAGTTTCATTTTATTTATTTATTTACTTATTTGGCATGTCTGTCCAGTTTTCTCAACACCATATATTTAAAAAAAAATGTATATCCTTGCCTCCTTTTCATAGATTAGTTGATCATATAAGCCTGGGTTTATTTCTGGACTCTATGTCTTTTTTTATGCTGGTACCATGCTGTTTTGATTACTATAGCCTTATAGTATAGTTTGAAATCAGAGAGCATGATAACCCCAACTTTCATTTTCTTTCTCATGATGGATTTGGCTATCTGAGGTCTTTTTGTGGTTCTATACGAATTTTGGAATCATTTGTTCTAGTTCTGAGAAGAATGCCATTGGTATTTTGATAAGAATTGCATTGAATCTATTTGTATGGTCATTTTAACAATTACAAATCACCATTTTAGCCGTAAGTGTACAGTTTTGTAACCTCCAGTACATTCATAAAGTTGTGCCACCATCATCCTATTTAATTCCAGAATATTTTTGTGAGCCTCCAAAACAAACCCATGCCTTTAAGCAGCTGCAAGAACCTACTTCTGAGGTAGCACCTCCTAGTGACAAAGCTTAACATTACGCTCCCTGGAGAGACCAGCCAGTGTTTCAGAGCGAGTACTGACTGGAAGGTGCACTTGGAGCAATAAATGGGTAACTGGAGTGTTACTCTAATTTTGCACACAAGGAAGTAGAGTGTGGGAGATTAGGTAGCTTGCTCTGAGTCACACGCTAACTGATGAGACCAGGCTGTCTGACTCCAGAAAGGAGCAGGTACTTCCATCTGGAAGATAAAGGCTAGGAAGAAAGATGCTTTCTGTCTCCTCATTAATACTCAATACAGATAAGGTTTCCACAGATTTTCTGACCAAATCTGAAGATATTAGGAGCAACAGCCTATATGGAGCTTTGAACCAGACAGTTGTAGGAAATGAAATGGAAGCGCTCAAGAAGATTAGCAAATCTGCGAAAGTAATTATTTAAAGAACACAAGCCCACCTAATAAGGTCAAGAATTTCTGTAACAAATAATGGCATTTGCTGAGGGAAGTGCCTTGTGAGGCACAGGGAGAATACAAAGAAGCAGCTCCCCAATGCCACTTCTCCTTCAGCTGCTCCCGCTGAGTTTCTCACGTCTTCCAGATCATGTTCTCTCTTCAGGTCCCAACAGACAGCCTCGTGCCACTAAACATTTCTTTCCTGGCTCGGTGCTGTTGTTGTATTGTTTTGTTTACCATGGACAGTGCATTCTCCTCTCTTTTCGTTCCCCTAAATCCTACCCTCTCTGATTAGCACAGGTCTCAGTGCTCTTTACGGAATGCAGAAAACACATCATAACGACAGTGGTTAACACCCAGGGAGCCCTTGCTATGTGTCGCGCACTGCGCTAAACACTTTTCAGTGCGTGACCCTCACAAAGGAACCCAGATGAGACCTGGAGAGGTTGAAAACTTTACTCAAAATCCGCAAGCATTGGTGGCAGAATAGAATCTGGTATTTGTGATTCCAGAACCGAATCTCTGGCCATCACAGGATAGCCCGGCCACATCGGGAGCTAATTATGTCACACCTCCTGGCCTTTCCTTCCCATCACTCTACAAGCACTTCAAGGACAGGAGCCATGATGTAACAGCAGCCCAGGGCCTCATCGATCCAGATGTGTTTCCTTCTCCTCTCCGTGCCCTCAGAGGGTCTATGTCAGTGAAGAAAGAGTTTCATATTCAGAAGAGGAAATTCATGGGCTTATCTGAAGGGAGAACTGATCCTTGTTCCTCGATCCAGGACCATCACTTCAGTAATGTACGGGGGAGTGGGGAAGTGCAGGGCAAGAGCTGCCCACTGCTTTGGGGCTGGCCTAGGTCCAGAATTAAACTCAGCTGAGTAACAGCGACTCCCTTTTTTCGAGCCCCTGGTTTGTGTCAGGCTGTGCTAGGCACTAAATTTATACATTTCATGAGCCTACGCACGAAACCTAAAAGGGAGGTACTGCTATTATCAGCTTTTATGGATGAGGAAGTCAAGACTCAGAGAAGGAGCAGTGTTAGAGTTTGAATGTAGGGCCTTCTGATTCCAAAATGAAAGAGAAGGGAAAGAGCCCTGAAACCTACTTAGGGAACAGCTACGTTTAATTATTTAATTTCTTCGTATTACCAAACATTTACTACTTATAAACAGATGCCAATTGACTCATTTATTATATGGTCACTGCTATCAAGAGGCTTACAATTTAGGCCAAAACTGGTTTGGCTCAGTGGGTAGAGTGTCGGTCTGCGGACTGAAAGGTCCCAGGTTCGATTCTGGTCAAGGGCATGTACATTGGTTGCGGGCATA